TTGTTTACCCTTAATGTATTTAAAGAAATCCTTACTGTTAATTTTTACATTTTCAGCCAACCTTTTTCATACATCCTTTTTGATGTCCTAATTTGACCAACTTTCTTGACCTAAATCTTCTGTCATACCAGTCAATTTAAATTTCATAAACTTGTTATGCTTTTCTTTTGTTTTATTTCTTATACCCTTTGTAAGCCAACCTGTTTTTTTCTTGCAGCCACCCTTTTCTTTCCATAAGGAATATGTTTATCTTGAATATTTAAAAATGTATCCTTAAAAATTTTCCACACTTGATCATTGTCTTCAAATAACTTAGCTGCCCAATTCATAACAGATAATTCTTTTCGCATCCCTTCAAAGTTTGCTTTTTTTGAAATTTGTACCAAAATATTATTATTTCTGATCTCCATATGCAGTAAAACATCAAACCTAATAGAGCAATGACTACTTGCACCCAGATGTTCCCCAATTTTCACCCTCTCAACAATTTCTATATTAGGAGTTAACAATAAATCTACAATAGCATTGTTTCTATTAGATTTCTTGACCAGTGAAGAAAACCATCTTGAACAGTTTCCAAAAACCTTTCTTCCTCATGGTTTGACTCAAGCATTTCCCAATCTACATGCTTGTTTGAATACACAGTCTCATTTTGAAGTTAGGAAAAGTTTAAAGTTTTGTTCAGACGTTATATATATATATATATATATATGTGTGCAGGTTAGGTACTTGAGCAATTATAAATCATATTTTTTTCTAACTGATAAATAATTAATACAGTTTTGAGTTACTTTTACAAGTGTTTGTGTAGTAGATTATTTTGTGTTTTATATTTTCTGTTGGATATAAGATATTACTCTACAAACTTTATCTTATTTATGTTAAGTTATAACTGTGATGTTGTAATAAAAAAATCTGTTCTTTTCTGTCTGGATTGTAGTCTCATAATTAACTCTTATTGAATCTTTCTCATGCAGAACTCCTTGTTAGACTACCACTCCTATCTCCTTCCTACAGGTTACAGTGTGGTTGAAAAGAAATTGATTGAATGGTAAGAAAATGTGATTTTTCTCATTACAGTAGATGGGCAACAGTTTGACTTAGAATTATTTGTGTGTATATGTGTCAGAAAAGTTTTTTATGTTAAGTACTATTTATCATTTACTTACTTTAATTTATCCCCACAAAAAATATCTAATTTTCTTAGAATATCGTTAAAAAGTAGAACTTCTTATTTTTATTAGATATATTTTTCCTCTTAACATAAATATTCCTGAAATTATAGGCATTTCCAGACTTCTATATTTGAAAGATATCGTGTGCTTCTTGTGTTTACCAACAACAAAATGTCTATCAAAAACTGGATAGTTGACACTACTGGCAGCAAAATCAGAGGTGGTACAGTGTCTAACTGAATTGGAGGATTGTTCAGGTGAGCTAGACACAGGAGTTTAGAAAAGAAAATAAGGAAATACTGCATAATAAGTGTTGTGAGTTCACTCCAATTTACTGGTTAGGTTTCTCTAATTTCCAGACATAAAACTTTCCAAAATCACCAGTCTTTTTGGAACGTGTGTTTACATTTTTCAGATTTCATTTATATGTGTTGTGAAACAAATCATTTTTCAAAGAAATTGTCTTCTACAAATTTTACAATTGATGTGACATTTGGTGAACTTTTTTGATTTGTATCATTATTATGATTGTGTAAGAAAAACAGAGAAACAATTGGAGATATTTTTAATGAGATTTTAAATAAGATCAAATGTTTGGCCGATGGTATATTTACACTATTCATGTAGAGCCTTATGTGAGGCTAGTTGCTCATTTTAAAGAGGTTAGTATTACCTGTACTTTTACATGTTTCGATTTTTCAGTTAGTCCTCTGGTGAGTCACCAGTACATTGTGCAGCTTTGTGCTAAAACATAATCTTTCCATTTAACTAATGACAGAACATACTAGTCATCCACCTGTGCATCTTGTAAAAATTAATATCAGTAAATACATATACAGATATATATATAATAAGTGAAGATGTGTAAGAGTTTATCATAACCAACTTTAATATACATTTTTATCTTTGCATTTGAGTAAAAGTAAGCCAAAAAATGCCTATTAATAAAATTATCCCATAAAGTTTTGCAAATGCATAAAAAACAGTTGATCTACATTATTTGCTTAGATTAATTTATACTGTGGTTCTAAATAGTTTTGTTTAACATCTTTCAGGCATATTCCACATTGATGTGATTGTAACGGACTCCTCCTGCCCAGATTATGTGGTAAAAGGAGCTCAACAACTAAGTATTCCTCTTGTGTCAACAGAATGGATTGTTCAGTGTATCATTAATGGCTGTGTACTTCCCTTTGACTCTCACCCTAATTTTCATTTTAGATATCAAGACACGTCATCAGTCAATGGGACAAAAACTTTATAGTGTTTTGTTCATGATCATTAAAAATATTATAGTCAAATTGGTCATTTTCAGTGGCTCTTTTACTGGTGTTTGATGAAACTTTACAATTATGAAATTAGTTTCTTCTTAAAATTATAAGAACATTGCTTTAAAGGCAGTTTAAATAAAAACATTTCTGAATCATGACATTTTATTGACAGTTGAATGTTTAAATAATAGATGTTTTAATGTATAATAAAGTTCTACCATAAAGTAATTTCTATATAGACAATATTATTAGTTCTTAAAATGTATAGATCTCTTGTCAATTATTATTGTCAAACAATTGTACTTTTTGAGTAAAATCTTAATTTATCTTGACCACACTTTGCTTTCTTGTTATACCAAAAACGTACATTTTATATTATTTATCAAAAGTTTTATGATTATGGCATTAAAATCTGCTATTATTTTATGATAATTGTTAATTTGATATTTACTAATGACCTATATTAATGGTGAGCCTGATTCACTTTTACTTGCCTCTGTTGTATAATTGATTTTCATATAACAACATGATACAACATGAAAAAAAATACCTGAATGCAATATATATATTTATTAATACTACTAATTATTTTAGAAATTAAAGAAAAACAAGTTACGTTTTTAGAACAAATGTGTTGATATTTACCTTGTTCTTTTATGCAAGTTGAAATACATATATTTTAATATAAATAGCAGATCATGTGCATTACCACTAGTCACAAGATTTTGTCTTGAAATCCAATTTATTTTACAGCATATAATAATATTTATTTGTTATAGTAATCTTTCATTAAATACTTTTCAGCAGCTACAAAAAATTGATATTCTAAAAGTTGAATAACAGATCAAGTACGTATTAAAAAATCTATGTGTATAGAGTTGATAGATTCGATTTTATATGGTCATCTAATTTTTCTTTGAGAAAACCTGAAAATTATTACTTCTATAAAAATAGTATTGTTACTGGTTTATCACTTGTGATTGTATTCGGTGCAGGGTTTTATCAAAGGCTAATTTTGGTCTGAAAAGTCATAAAATCATTTTTAGATGGAAAAGAAATATTATTTTTGTAATGCACACATGTAATGGTACGTCTGGCTTGATGTTTTCACAGAAAAAACAGTCCATATGTGCTGTTTAAATATTTTATGAAATCCTTTTCTTCCATTATCCCTTTATATTTGCATAAATGTATTTATATGAGTGTGTGTGTGTATATACGTGATAAAATCAGATGAAAAAAATCAAACATCCAGAAATGAAAATAAAATAAAGACCATGATCCAACCTATGATATGGGAACTGTAATTGTTTAACATCTACTTTTTAGAGCTATCCACAGACCACAGAACTAAGATTTACATAAAAGTAAAGATACCACATCTTACATCTCTTCTCATAGTGTAAAACATGTTTTAGTATATTCACATCATTAAATGTTATTCTCAGTGTACGTTTGACTTCTACAGTGCAATTTCTGCTTATTTCACACACTAATGACGACAAGAAATAAAAAAGTAAATAACTTTGCATCATTTAAGAGGATCTTGTTCGGTTAGTTAGCTACTATCCAGTGAGGGTTCAGGATGGATGTGATTGTATTTCATTAAAATATTGGTTTAAAATACTTGAAATTAATAATATTTTTTGAACCTTATCATTTTGGTTCTTTATTTGCTTAACATTTAACCACATATTACAGGAATGGAAAGCCAACTTCAGAGGACATGTTTCTTTCATCTCCACCACCATTTGTTCTGTTATTCTGACCTTAGTTTTATCAAATAACTTTGTTTTTGCTAACAGTGAATGCTTTTTTGGTTTGTCTATATATATGTAGTAAACTTATATATATATATTACACAAATACATATTAAAACAGGTGTTTGTAATACGATCAACTATTTCTAAAGGTGTATCGGTTATTCTTTACAATACAAAAATAATACAAGTAGACAATTTGTTATAGCCTTGGGGCTAGGATACCATTAACCTTTTTCCTCCGAAAGGGATCACTTATTTTAACTACTCACACCACTATCCAGTAGTGTGTTTTCTGTCAGTAGATACTAAAATGACGTCACATAAGGGACGCTCAACGTTGCAGTTTGTACTGTCGTGACGTCAGTAAAATGTGCTCATGCCATGAATCACTTGAAGAATTATGCACTTTGTAAGCTACCACACAGCATAACATATGAACTTCTAAAGCAAAAACATGGCCAGGTGGTTAGGGCGCTCGACTCACAATCCGAAGGTCGCGGGTTCGAATCCCCGTCACACCAAACATACTCGCCCTTTCAGCCGTGGGGGCGTTATAATGTGACGGTCAATCCCACTATTTGTTGGTAAAAGAGTTGGCGGTGGGTGGTGATGACTAGCTGCCTTCCCTCTAGTCTTACACTGCTAAATTAGGGACGGCTAGCGCAGATAGCCCTCGCGTAGCTTTGCGCGAAATTCAAAAACAAACAAACCAAAGCAAAAAATATTTATTACTCTTAATTTTGGTTTTATTTACTCTTGAAACAGAAAACTTTCGGGGACCATGCATAAGTACATCTAGTACTCAAGTCCTTATATACGTTACACTCTTCTAGAATTATTATTGGAAAAGCAACAGTCATATGCTATCGGTATTCAGGTTATCTATATGTATTTTATTTAAAACTAGCTGGAGTACCTGTCCTCTGGACGGAAGTTATGTAAATTCATGATTAGTAAACGGTTATCTTAGCACATGAAAAGTAGCTTCTCTAATATGTAATTGTAAAAAAACACCCATAAAAACTGCAAAACACAAAATGTGAAACCGCAAGTTGGTAGGTATCTTAGCATGGACCCAACAAACCTTCATATAAAATTTGGTGAAGATCCATTAACAGAGGGAGAAGTAGTGGTAAAAAAATGCAAAACTGAAAATTTGATGTATCTCCGCATGGACCTAATGAACCTTCATTCCAATTTTGGTGAAGATCCATCCACACCCTATGAAGTAGTTACATAAACAGACAGTACTATTAGTTTTATATATATGTCCCCTTTGTGAACAGCAGAAAAATATGTTGCTTTTTATTTCTGTCAAATATTATAGTTTTCAGCTTACAAGACATTATGTTATATTGCTGGGCGGTGTCTTATTGACTACTTTACTAAAACCGTCACCCCTAAACACACATTTGCACGTGAATTTTCAAAGGGTGTCTCTTTGACAAGAGTGTCATTTAAAATATACCTTTGTTTTGGTCTGTTGTTCATCTGTGGTCAGAGTATACCACCAGTTGCAAACGAAACGTAATACGTTTACCTATCAAGAAATAGGCCCTCAATCGCTTGTAACAGGAACTTCATTCACCAGATCTTAATTAAATTCGGTATATATGAATGACCTCAAACGCTTCCTTTGACACCATGATCCTCTGTCAATATTCATGAACAAATTACAAACTGTACTACTACACAAAACAATTCGCCTTGTGGAGCCTATGCCACGCAAAATTCAAGCAGTTACCGCAACGACCTTAATCCAACCTGATATTAGGTGGGACCTAATAAAGTGACCGATCAGTGCATATCTAACTTATTCTTGATTATATTTAACATATTATTAATATTTACATAGTTTACAACTAGATGCTGTACTGCTACACATGTTGAGCTCCATTATTTACAAGCAGTACTGTACAACAGGGTGGAAACATCTTTTCTGACCAAATTTTATGGTTGTATCTTTGATAACTAAATTATTTAGAATCACTTTTTATTATTGTATTTACATGCAAACAAATTTATATTAAGAAATGAAAGACATAGATTCACAAATGTTATTTTTAGGTGCAATTAAATTTGAAAAAAACTATTGTAAAATCAATCTCGCTACAGACTGAAATGTGTGCTAAACCCAATTAGCAACTGTACTGTAAAAGTGGGCTTCGATCTTTCTTGACACATTATTGATTATTCCATAAAATTTACATAGAAATAAACTTACTGGAACAGACGTTATTCACAGATATTTAAGAAATATGTGTATCATGGCATATGGTAATGATTGGCTACTTAGTAATTTATCAATCTGTTATAATCACAATGAGAAATTTATATAATTTCACAGTAGCTTACGGAACACATATATCGTAAGAATTAATTTAAATGTCAAAATTATCTACTGGATCTAGAACAGTCAATCACGAAGATGTATACTACCGCCATCTGGTAGGAAATATATAAATGCGTTATCTCAACTGCTTTTCGTGGATATATTTTAACATTCATAGCAGGTTCTCGAGATAGATGGGATATTTATTAGCATATTACGTGTTTAAATAGCAGTGAACATACATCAGGTGCCAATTTGAAAATGGCCGTCTTAATGAGCTAAGACTATTAATAACATTACTCTGCACACTGTTTGAATTAGAATTTCAAAGGGCATATCGCTTTCAATGTTTCACAGTTAATTGTGTATTTATTTATTTTATAGAGACAATTTAAAGATCAAGGCTTACTTTTCACGTAACCAATTGGGTCTGGTAATCTGCGTGTGTTGCTATCGTAAGTGCGTAAATATTTGATAAAAAGAGTTGAAAACGTATAAGTGTATTAAACAATTTTCAATTTTATGAAATTATGTTTCTATACAAATAAAAAGTTCGTCATAATTTAGAGATTTCATTAAGAACTTGTTGCTAAGTGAATAAATCAAAGATGGTGTTCTCGATCCCTATAATCAATTTTGTCACTTTTTCACTTATAACATACTTGGTCTTGTTATTTTTTTTATATCCTACCAGACAAAAATCAAGATTTCATACGTAAATTACCATATCTTGTGAATGTTATAAAGCATCGTGACACTTATCAAATAAGTAACAGTCTTCAATGGTGTAATATATTCCTAATAAATGAAGTTTTTATAAACTACCGCCAGGCTGATTACTTACTGCATGCTGCAATACAACCGGCTGTTTTCGAAATAAATTTGGTAGATTTGCTGTCTCCGTGCGAAGATCGCCTGCAGGGTAAAGAAAAATATTTTATTATAATTTTTGTATGTTTAAGTGGATTAAGCGATTACGACAACAGCATCAATAAAATACGTCACATGAAATACATGTTTATTTATTAACTGCATCAAAAAGTTATTTACAGTAGTTAATTTTGTTACAAATAATAACTTATTATGTAAGAAGAACAAATTATCCACAGTATCGTTCTTCCGCTAACAGTAAATTCTAAAAATTTGCGTTCGCGCCTTCAAACATACTAGTACATGCAGCTCACACTGGCCACGTGGCAGATGGGATATTTTACCCACGACTTCCCACTGGGACGACATCACACCAACCATCTGCCAGCTGTCATGGGGAGAAAGACGGGCAAATAGCCGAAGCAAAACACAGTGTTTCGAATAACAAGTGCATCTCAACATAATAGAATGTTCACACTTAGATTGATTTGAATCAGTTTGGACGTCCTAATATTGTTGATAAAACGTCATTAATCAAACACAGTGTAGCTTCTGATCAGGCCAGTCAGTAGGATTGTGAGAACAGGAGATCAAACAAAGCGCATAGTACGCCGTAAGCCTAATTATACTAAAATATATTAAAATTAGAACATACAACAACATCAAAGATAACGAAAATCTGTTACTTACCGATTAAAAGGAAATGTCGTACTTTGTGCACCATTAAAGATGGTGTACCTCGAATTTCAAATTGTAAGTTTAAACAATCTAATAAAGTTTATTTTACATTTTCACCAAAATAAATTCTGCAGTACAAAACAACAGATACCAGTTAAAGATTTTTCAATTCATCACTCCTTAACACCATTCACTGGATATTGCCAGAAGTATATATTTATGTCTGTTTAACCTCATGGCCTGAAGTAAAAGGTTAGACAGTTTTGTTATTACGAAATTAAAGCAATCATGAAAACAAAGAAGGCCCCCAGCAGCTCAGCGGTATGCTTGAAGGCTTATAACATTAAAATTCAAGGTTCGATTCATGCGATGAGCACAGTGCAGATAACCCATTGTGTGGATCTGCACTTAAACCAACCATCTAAACTAATGTTTAGAATAATGTCACAGAAATTCGTGTGACTGTTATACTGTTAAACAAAATGTAAGATGTGTGGACGATAATGTTATTTACATATAAATACATCCATTAAACTTCTTCCTCAAGAACCTTGAAATATGATGAAATAAGTATAATCATACTTAAATTATTGTTTGTTTAAAAATTTTATCCCAAAGCTACGAAAGGGCTATCCCTGACTTTGAACCGATATAATATAGGGAATAGCCTCAATCGTCAACTCTTGTCTGATCGAATAGTAGGATTTGACAGTCATTCTTATAACGTAACCACTGCCCCATATTACGGAGCGCGTTTATGCGGAATGAGTTGGTTGGTTGGTTATTTAAGAACAAAACAACATTGGGCTATCTGCTGTGTCCACCGCAGGGAATCGAACCCTGGATTATAGCGTTAATCGTAAGATAAGGCCCTCTCATGAAGAAAATTGATATTACAGCATACTTGTCAATGGATCAAGAAACACGTTTTCCTTCTGATATGAAAAGAAATATTTCATTTTGGCACATGGCGGAGATTGACAAAGGAAAAGATACTTCAAGTAACCACCTATATAAATAGCCAAAAGTTTCACTTACAAACAGATATAACATGCACTATTTTAAGTTGTATGATGTTCAATTTGTGGATAAATTATCGAATATTCCCGTTTCAAGTCTGTTTGTACATACGTATGTATACTTGATTTATCTGTTTTACGAAAGAGCCCAGATTACCGTTAACAGCGCAGAAATTCTACAAAAGTAAGATATAAGAACTGATTGGTTGATTTTCTTGAATTTCGTGCAAAGATACTCAAGAGCTATCTGCGCTAGCCATCCCCAATCGTGCAGTGATAGACAAGAGAGGAGGCAGCTAGTAAACACCATCCACCGACAACTCTTGGACTACTCTTTCCCAACGAATAGTGGGATTAATCGTTACAATATAACGTCCCCATGGCTGAAATGGTGAGCATGTTC